ATATATATTTAGTCTAATGAAAATATAAAAATTATAAGGTAATAAATGAATAAGTAAAACATCAGTATTTATCTATTTATTTTAAATATAGTAAAAAAATATTATTATTAAAAGATTGTAATAAAATTGAATAATAAATATTTCTACTTTAATTTTTTGAAAATATAAAAATCATAAGGTATCAAAATAAGACATTTATATTCATTTATTTTAAACATGATAACAAAAATTTTAAATTATTATTTTAAGAATAAGATAATGATAAGAAAATTCATAATATTGTATCAAAGTTTCAAAATATTACATTTCTAACCTAGGATTTTATGTAGGAAGTATTTGGATACTTATGCAACAAATATATGCATAGTATACAAAAAAACATAAAGATAATCCCTACTTATTTCAACTGGAAAACATAAAGTCTTTTATGCAATTCTAACAAATCTCTGTACATATATATGTTGTACATTGTTATCCATCTTCAGATTGATGACGAACAAGAGTCATTTTTCTCATATGAAAATTATACAATCACAAAATTAACAATAACCTAAGACGTGTGATAACACTATCCTTAAGGAACGACTTATCTACGTGATGTGCAAATCCCCAAGATATAATATGTCTTTCCCAATTAATAATTGAGGTAACAAAACTAACAAGTTTTCAAGTGAGAATAACCCATGAAACTCATAATATAATCAAGAAAAGATGTGTGACGAGATGCTCTCAAAGTCTTATGTATGTTATATTATAATGAAGAGAAATTGTTTCTCAAAAACACCTTTTACCAAGTCATAGATAAAAATATAATTATCTCTTGAAGACCAAATCAAAATACAAGATAAAACTTAATCTAAAAGACCAAGTCAACAAGACTAAATCTAATTAAAATATTTAGTTAATAAAACAAAATTAATTTAAAATATTTTTCTAATTAAATAAACATATTAATCTTTTTGAAATCACTAAAAAATACAACTATATATATATAGGCTAAAACTCTAAGTTAGTCCCTTATAATATTATAAGATTTCAATTTAGCCCCACTTTAATTTTTGGACTCAATTTAGTCTCACTTGTAAAAAATACTTACAATGTTTGCCTTCCGTCTAAATTTTTCACATGCTGTTTAAGGAATGCTTACATGGCTTGAATGGGTTTGCTGACATGTTAAATGAGAGCCACGTTGGCTTTCTCTTCTATTTTTGGTTCTACTCCACTCTCTCTGTCTCCATTATCACCCTTTTCTTCATTTTCACCTCCTCCCTCTCTCCCCACGACCCCAAAACCTGGTTCGTCACCCTCCCCACCCCCTTCGCCAATGGCTCACCCCATCAACAAACTTTATAGATAAAAAGCCCATTTAATTACAAATATACTTCATCAGTTTCGAGGAGTAAAAAGGATAAGTTTTTCTAGGGTAAACAAACTTTGATAAATAAATATAGATAAAATAAAGATAAAAATTATAGCCGCATTAATTGGAAAAAAGATCAAAATAAGTTGCTTTAAAAAGGTTCTAGATGTTTTGAGGATAATTTCACTTTTATGTTCTAGATGTTTTAACCTTCACAATTATCTCTACAAAAGAATGATAAAAAAAAAAAGAGCTAAAGTATTCAATGTGTTGATGAATGACAAGTGAAACGCTATGGTTTACACTTAACATTTGTCTCTACAAGAGATAATAAAGGGACGATCACACAAGAAAAAAACAATGTTAAAAATTCAACATAGTTAAAAAAATTAGGTTAAAAATCATTAAATATTACGATATCAACAAATTAAATTTATCTACAAATGAAAGACACATGAAGGCTTATCGAAGATTACTAGAGAATTTTTTTTTCTTTTTTTCTTGGTATTAGAACGGTTACAATAAAATAGATTTTTAATGACATTTAATATGATTTTTAGTGGCAATAAAAATTGCTACAAAATTTTTTATCGGCATTTTCACATTAGTCATTGTATGCAGTGTCGCTAAAATATTTAGCAGCAATTATTCTAAATGATAGTAAAAACTTTTATAATGGTCAAAAAAAAGTATATAACTTTTTGTGACATCTTTTACTTTCTAGTCGATGTGGGACTTTGTAAGATGAGTAGATAAGGGTTATCTTCTATTTATATATTCTTTTTAATTTTCTTATTTTTTTAATTACCTTATTTCTAGTCGATGTAGAACTTGCAAGATGAGGGTTGTCTTCTATTTATATATATTTTTTAATTATCTTATCAATAGTCGGTCAAGTTTAGGAACTATTGAGTTTGATAATGGTAAGTAATCTCATACCAACTTAGAATAGTAAGTTATAGGTCTAACTCAACCCTACAAAACAAACTTATAAGGTGAGAGTTATCATCTATTTATATACTCTTTAATTATCTTATTTCTAGTTGATGTGAGCTAAAAAATTTCTTAATAAATAATTGTCACTAATAGTAAATTTTAGTGTGATGTAAATATATTTTTAATGACCATTATATATTAATCATTAATATTTTTATTAAATAATAAAATAAAGGCAATTAATTTATTATTGTTAAATAATTATCGGTAATAATAAATTTTGTTGTAGTATTAACGGAATAGATTATTAAAACATCATAATTTAAAGTATTTCAAACTCAATAAATTTTACTAATCTATAAATGGACGACTTCAAGAACATCACCATGATATTAAAATAAAACACATATCGAGTACCAACCAAGAATTCAGTTCCTACGAAAAACATTTATAAAGACCAATTCTTTAATGAGATTATTTTTCTTCTTCCTTGGCTACTTCGACAATTTCACTATTAACTACCTCCTTGAACGGATCGGTAGCTTGAAAGTCAGTTCCACAATTATGGAGGTTGATTGTCTTTAAGGTCACTCACACAAACTTACAAGACATATCTAAAATCCACATGTATTGTATATTACATTTGAGTTTTTTTTATTAAAGTTGTGGGTATTCTTTTTCTTTTGACTAACCTCTCTTTTGGTTTAGGTACTAATTTCCATATAATAGTAAATACTGGAATGTATCATCTCAAATTGTAAATTTGTGATCCCTACTTGCTAAAAGATATCTATTTTCTATCACCCTTCAAATTCAATTTATTCATTTTAAGTATTTCTCTATATTTCTTTTTATTTAAATCATGATGCTAATAAGTGTTTGTTAGTAAAAATTTTCTATGGTTTTTATTTGGTTAGTACTTATTTATTCAACTTAATTGTCTATAATGTTTAGATTTTTCAATCTGGCATCTTTAGATTTATCTATCAGGTGTCCTTTAGAATTTATAGTTTTTCAGTTATATGTTGGATCATCCTAATTCAGGGAAACACTAATTTAAGTTGTTTATAAGAATTCAAAGAGTATATATATATATATATATATATATATATACATACATAAATATAAAAATTAAAGTTAAGTTTTGATGGAAGCTTCCAGTGGAAGAGATTGAGGTTCTTCAACTAGCTCCATCTTCATTGTCCAATATTCTCTTGAGGTTCAACTTATTCACAGAAGCAA